GCCGTCCAGTCGGACAGCGCAGAGGTGACTATCAACTGAGATGCAGTCTAGTAGTGAGCTTTCTACCCTGGCCCTGGTGCTTAGTGTTATGCCTACACCTGCAAGACCGCGAGAGCTAGCCATCCAATCTCCAGAAACTCGAAGGGTGAGTTTTGTGCATTCACCAGACTGCTTGGAAGAGGTTAGGTGAATAACCACGTTTGCGTCCTGTATGCGAGCCTCACAAACACAACACACATCCATGGTCCGAGGTGCTAGAGAGAGTCTTTGCCAACGAAACCTGTTGATCAATTTGACGGAGGGTGCAGACATCTAAGGCCCCGATGTGTAATTTGGAGCGTAGTTTAAGGAGACCAGAGATGCTGTTTTGTTGATTCAGATCGTTGTTGAAGGCTGAAGAGCTGGGAGAAATTTAATATGATGTAGTATCGGTAATTGAGACGTGAATTAAGATTAGGAAGTAATGATGAGGGAGGTGGATAGCAGTCTGAAGAAACTTGAGTGCTGATCGAGTTGTGAGGGTGGTTGAGATTTGGCGGCTGCCTACACCGTGGAAGAATGCCAATGTCTTTTAAAGGTAGTGCCATTCTTTTCAACGAATCAGTTTTATTTCTCAAGAGGGTACATCAGAGTTTAGGATAGGGTAACTATATCACGCAGTCAATATGGGATTACTTAATGTACGTTTATACATGTTTATCTGCTGTATTGCTGCATAAAACTGACTTGTACTCATCTGTGAACAGCAGCTTACTTCAAGGAACACTCATATCCGCTGACACTACCTCCGCTTTCCATTATTATTATTTTGATAGGACCGATCTCTTGAACTGTTTGTTAGGGAGAAATTTCTCTAGAGTTTTGTGACACTATGAGAGCACATGCTCACCTTTATTCCGAACAAACAGCGGAGTTAAGCAGGGCTGTGCGGTTTCACCACTGCTCTTCAAGTTGAGGCATGGATGTGTGCTGTGTTTGTGAGACACGCATACAGGACCCAAGTGTGGTTATTCACCTGACCTCTCCTGACCAATCTGGTGAATCTGCAAAATTCACCCTTCGAGTTTCTGGAGATTCGATAGCTAGCTCTCGTGGTCTTGCAGGTGTAGGTATAGCATTAAGCACCAGGGCAGAAAACTCACTACTAGACTGGATCCCAGTTGATAGTCGCCTCTGCGCTATGAGGCTGAACGGCACAGTGAGAACTAAAAGGAATGGTGAGACTCGCCGTTGTCTCTTTGTAATCTCTGCTTACGCACCCACTGACTGTAGTTCGGATGAAGTGAAGGATGAGTTCTACCATAAACTGTCTAACCTCCTCTCGAAAGCCAAACGTTCGGACGTAGTGGTTGTTGCAGGTGACCTCAACGCACAGGTGGGTAGACTGAGTGAGGCAGAAAGGCACTTAGGTGGCACTTTCGGAATCCCAGCTGAACGTACAGATAACGGTGATCGCCTATTACAACTATGCTCAGATAACCGCCTATTTTTAGCCAGCACCAATTTCAGACATAAAGAAAGGCACTGTCTGACCTGCTATTAGTCATCGCTGGAGAGGATCGGTGGAAGACTGCCGCTCCTTCTGGAGTACGTGTTTGGACAGCGATCATGCGTTGGTCCGAGCACGTATATGCCTGCGTCTCAATGGACGTAGAAAAAATTTGGCAACAAAACCACTACGAGTTCTGCTGGACAACGAAAACACCAAAGCCGTGTTCAGTGAGAAGTTGGCTAGGCAGTTATCGGAACAAAAGACTGTCACTCATCCAGAAGAAGCTTGGTGCCATCTTCAGTCTACTGTAAAAGCAGCACTGGAGACTGTAGCCGACTCCAAGATAATGGCTAAAAAGAGCCAGTGGATATCAGCAGCTTCTTCCAAACTAATGGATGCACGTGAATGCATCCCTGCAGGCTCTGAGTACAATGAAGAGCGAGCGCAACTTAAAAATAAACTGACGAAAAGTCTGCGCAACGATCGTGAACAGTGGTGGGCAGCAAAGGCTAAAGAGATGGAAAAGGCAGCGGCGATCGGTAACAGTAGACAGTTATTTAGACTTATTAAGGAGACTGGGGGGAAATGGTCAACAACAGTTAGTGAGGTTATAGCGGAGAAGGACGGATCGGCGATTCACTCGCAGGGAAGGCGACTGGGACGATGGGCAGAACACTTTGAGGAACAGTTTAACTGGCCTCCAGCCACCATTGCGCTGCCCGCTATCCAGTCGGACCCTGAATGGGACATAGAGACAGGTCCCCCAACACTAGAAGAAGTTGAGAAAGCGGTAGGTAGCCTGAAACGGGGAAGGGCAGCAGGACCAGACGGACTACCTGCTGAGGTATACAAGAATGGTGGTAGAGTTCTCTTAGTCAGGCTAACGGAAGTGTTAGCCAGTATATGGGAATCAAATACGATCCCCTCCGACTGGTCTAAGTCACTGATCATCCCAGTCTTCAAGAAAGGCGAGAAGTCCTCTTGTGATAACCACAGAGGAATCAGCCTGACAAACATAGTGTCTAAGATCCTAAGTTCTATAATTCTCCGACGCCTGAGTGGAGCTCGGGAACAGCAAGCCCGAGAAAACCAGGCAGGCTTTAGACCTGGCCGTGGATGTATCGACCAAATATTCACACTGCGCCAGGTCCTGGAACATAGGCATGCTTACAGACGCCCGACAATAGCTGTATTTCTCGACCTGAAGGCGGCATTTGACTCCGTTGATCGAGAAGTCTTATGGCAGTGTCTGTCACTGAAAGGCGTGCCTAGTAAGTACATCACCTTATTGAAAGCTCTCTACTCGAACACTTGTGGGCATGTTAGAGCCTATGGTGAGTTGTCCAGGGAGCTATACTCATCAAGTGGTGTCCGTCAAGGATGCCCACTATCCCCATTCTTATTTAATTTTATCATAGATATTCTTATGGAGGTTTCCCTCTCGTCACCTAATTACAAAGACGTTGACCGGATCACAGGTGAATTTTCCTTAGATCTAGAATATGCAGATGACATAGTCCTGTTAGGTGAAGACGCTGACAAGATGCAGAGTCTTCTGAACACTTTGAGTGGGAATTTGAGAATGTTTGGGATGCGATTTTCACCACCCAAATGCAAATTTTTGCTCCAGGACTGGTCTTCAGCGGTACCGCGGTTAACAATAGAGAGTGAAGTGGTTGAGTGTGTTGACCACTTCACTTACCTGGGAAGTAGGATCAACTCCGGTGGGTTAGTTGCCGATGAGATTTCTGCACGGATACAAAAGGCTCGATTGGCTTTTGCCAATTTGCGCCACCTATGGCGCCGCCGTGATATTCGTTTGTCTATTAAGGGTCGCGTGTACTGCACAGCAGTCCGCTCTGTTCTACTGTATGGCTGTGAAACATGGCCATTGAAAGTGGAAGACATGAAAAGGTTTCAGGTATTTGACCACCGTTGCCTTCGTAGTATAGGACGTATTCCGTGGTGTCACCATGTGAGTAATGCAGAAGTTAGGTGTAGAGTTTTAGGGAGAAGAGGTAAGTCAGTCGACGAGGTTGTGAACCTTCATCGACTGAGATGGTTGGGACACGTACTACGTATGCCTAGTCACCGATTGCCTCGTCACACAATGTTGGCTGAGGTGGGTTCAGGCTGGAAAAAGGCCCGAGGTGGCCAGACTAAAACATGGCACCAATGTATGAAGTCTCTGACTGTTGGTTTAAGCCATGTAGGACGATGCAGACTAGGTGGTTGGGGTCCACGGGACAAGAGGAACCAGTGGTTGGAGACCCTAGGTGATATGGCTCAGAACCGAAGTCAGTGGCGCAGATGTATACACACATTATCCTCATCTTAACAACGCTATACCGAATCTCACTATTTTGTCACTCCTCTTTCCTTTCTTCTCGTACTTTATATTTCTTTTGACTGCATTCACTTATCTTCATCCTTCACCTCACTACCTTTTTACTTGATGTGCTGATATGAGGTGTGGCAACTCGGACCGTTACGCAGTAATGCCTGGTCCTATGTTGATAATGATGATGATGATGATCTTCAAGTTGACCAGTTTTCGACATTCTTATGTCGGCTACAAAAACGCGAATAATGGTGATGTGTTCACCGAAAAGGACACTTCTACAATAAGTATACTGACGATCTCATGTTGTGCAGTAAAACACAGGCTGTTCGTGACGACCTACACTTTATTATTATATGCGCTTTTCATCAACATCATCATAGTGTAAAGTACTAAATTGAGATGGACTGGTTCTTTTTTTCTTCGATGCAACAAGAGGCATCTATTTTTGTATGATGGAAATTAAACAGACAAGTTATTTCCAACATCCTGTCTTCTTGACATACTTTTGGAATGTTCTGCTCTTTGTTACACGTAAATCTATGAGATATGGCTGACCAGAGCTGAGATAACTTGAGTCAACACGGGTATCTTGCTGAAAATATCGACAAGTTTACAGCTGTGCACATCTGATGATGAAATATTACTTTGTTACCAGAAATTTCGACACATTTTAAACATCTTCATCAACGATGACTTTCTTTGAATTTGTGCTTCGCGAAAACGATCCAAGCGGACCGTCGATCTTTATAATGGTCGAGCTAACAGAATCCCCATAGGTTGTTGTTAGTAGTTACTAGCTATGCTGTTCCGTAGATTTCATAAACTCCTAAATGATCCAATGTGTATAAATCAGTTGTTTTGAAGGCTTAATACTATTGTAATCCAACTAGAATGATTGAAATAGATTAGTAAGCTGATGGATACAATAGGTATGTCTTGCCGTCTGAACATCGTTACTGAGTTACATAATAACTTAGTCATACAACTCCTGGTTAGAGAAAAAAAAGCAAAATTATATTCGTAAAAACAGATAGGAAAAAAAATAAGTCCAGAGAAGTACAACATCGTTACAAATGAATATCAAAAAGTTATACAAAAATAAGATATATTTCAATCTTTGGTGCTGGTTCATTCATACACATGACATACAAAGACGATAAACATTCATTTAGTGCATAAATAATGATTATTCTCCAAACACACAGTACACTTGTAATCTCCCCATACCTTGTTAATAGACTGAATAACTTTATCAAGAGATTCATCAATTCTATAGACAATAGTTGTAACACTTTCCATTTGTTTATCAACAACAGATTTCCAAACTTTGTTCAATTTATGAAGTTCATCATTGTTATTTATTAATTTTTTGGCGAATACGCAATCCTCATCATCACCTGTAATAATGATTAAAGTAATCGATTTGTGTCTACTGATGTTGTTAATTGGATTATTTTCTGAAGATATTGTTTCTGGATCTTTAACTACGACAATCTCTTTCGTAGTATATTTCTCAACACTTCTCTTACTCATTGTTGGATCAGTCTATAAAGGAAAGAGGGTTAGACAACAACATTCATTACTGACACATGTACAACGACACAAATAGTCAAATTAGAAAATAAAGTGGGATGGGGAAAAGCCATAAAAAAGGGTTCACTATAGGATAACTGCTTTAAGGTATCTGGCCTAATTGGTAGATATTAATGCACAGAAGAAAGAGGAGGTTAGACTACATAGCCATCATTAAAATGAATGCTTTTGTTCAAAGACAGACAGAATCAACTTAGAATCTTCAACACAAGTGCATTGGTTCAAGCTGCAACACTTCACAATAGTAGTAGACAAAGAACAGTAGGATTGGAAGAGTGATATCGAAGTGGTGTGAAACAATAAACAATTTAAAGATAAAGCTTAGTGCAAACATTCAAGTTTCAGATGCTAAGGAGTGAAACATCTGTGCCACTGTCACCGGTTTTCAGACATTTCACCAAGAGTTACCAATCACTGATTCTTATCACCTCGGTAGACGCCAAGCACATAGTTCACATTTCTTCCCATGTATTAAACCAACTATCAAGGACTTCATGGACTGGTGTCATGTCTTGGGCTATCCACCCTCAACCCTCTTCCAATCTAATCCAGCCTCTCTTATATATGGCACTTCAAGATAGACGGTGACAGCATAAGCACCATCTGTCCAAGTCATCTCATCTCGATAAAGCTCACATAATTAATCAGCTTACCTGTCTTGATTAGTACCCTTAGCTGACCTCAACATGGTTCACACAGTGATTCCACCAAACGCAACCAATGCTACGAAGACATCTGTGATCAAAACCCTGTGATCGCTTCCACGTCCAACGACCATGTCTCACAGTCGTGTAGCAGGATAGAACGAACTAAAGCGAACTATATTCGTCCTTTCGCAGGGAGTCGGATAGCCCACTAGTCGGCGTCACAGATGATGCGAGTTGGCAAGTGACAAACGAATCTTCTGTATCCAAGCTGAGATTTCGTCAGCATCCACTCTGTTCGAACTGATGCAACTCCCTAAGTGTAAGTGAACTGGTCGATACATTCCACCACTTCACTCCCTATTATTAAATTGGGAGTGGCTGCAGACCAGTCATGCCTGAAGCATCATATTACATTTGACAGATGCCAGTGAAACACATGCCAAACATACTCAGATGTCTGCTTAACGCATTCACAAGCCCCTCCATTTTGTCAGTATCTTGACGTAGCTGGACAACACCATCCAGATGGCCTTCAGGGGATAGATCATTCCCTGTGAAGTCAGATATTCCTAAGGTTATGTTCATTATATGTAAAACAAAGTTAAATAGAAACGGTGACAGTGAGCGTCCGTGGCGGAGGCCAAAGATATTGAACTGTGGAAAATATCAGTAACAACGAAATCAGTAAAGTCACCATTATACCAAACAAACGGTTTAGGATGATCCCTTTTTCTTGGACATCAATCAAACAGTAACAATTATTGTTAAACTATCTTGTTCTCTGAGCTCAGAGAACACAATACAACCAAGACCATCCACCTGAGCCACAAATATTCTCCATTATTGTTAGATTGTGACCCACCACAGGATCCAAAGACCTCGAGGTTTGGTTTTGTAGAGTGGACGATACAGCAATGGAACATATAATTAGACGGATTCTCTTCAGTTCATGATAAGAACTACCTATGTATTATTAAATACTCATGATACACAAAGTTAAGAAAACATAGTATTGATATATAGATATAATGAATGATAAATATTGGTAGTTACCTCATCAGAGAAAATAGGCTGTTCCGGTTCAATTTGAATAAATCTAGAGGCATTCGAACTCAGCCTACCCATAGATAAATATTCACTACAATTTTCAATTACACCGAGAGTTTGTGGAGCCAGATTACAACAGACACCTTGTACACTAAGTTTGTTGTTTGCCTGTTCATCTATCAGTAGTTTACTCCAAGCCAGAACAAATTCAAATGCCAACTCACGCGAACCAGGAGACCAATAAAACATATCGATGCAACTAAGGTAGGAACAAAGTCCAACAGAAAATTTTAAACGATTCGCTTTATAGTTCGGTTTATTCTTATGATCACAGGAACGACAAACATTGATGATCTCAGTTAAACTGTTTGTTTGCTTTCTTGTATAAAAGTCTTCAAAGTTAACAAGAGCACGTAAAGCAAGTGTAAATGGCGTTAATGACTCTATCACATCACTTTGTACACACTATAAAGATAAATGAGCAAAGAAAAGTCATCATAAAATATCTTTAAGTGACTATGACAAAGTGGAATCCATGAGAAGTATACGTAATTCAGCATACTTACAAATAACAAGAGGTAACTGCATAAATATTCTACAAGAAAAGTGGAATTTGGAAATTTCAATGAGTCATTATATTTGAAGGCATCCTGACCAACAATGGACTGGATGGTTTGAAAAAACTTGGGCACCGAGTTAGTATGATTCATTGTATGAGGTGTATTTTTATTTGTGTAATCCGGGCGTAGTATATCAGAACAAATAACAAAATATTTGTTTATTTTGTTGTTTTAATATACTACGCCAGGATTACACAACTAAAAATACACCTTATACAATGAGTCATCATATTGTTGCCTGTTTGATGGCTAACAGTGGGATCTAGGACGCGTATTCCGTCCTACTTGGGATTCAGCCGATGAGACCCGAACTCAGTACTCATCACTCTCAATACCAAAGACGTTAGCCACTGGAGCATGAGAGCAACTTATTGTCCAACGCATGTCAGTTATTGTTTACTGATACTTGTAATTCCGTTGCTCTGTCTCTCTCTCTCTCTCTCCTTACTTTCAAAAAGTAAGAACATTGACATATTTTTATGCTTTTATTTCTATACTTCAGAATTGAGATTTACTTTCGTAACTTATGACTGCGTAACTAGGACTCCTAAAAGTGTAATAGTATGCTAAATGATCATAAGAGCTACCTTAAAGGCAAGCCCATGATCATGAATGAAAATTTCTCACAGACATCGTTAGATTAGAGAGAATTTTCACCGCTCTCTGGAATTCACATTCACTCTAGAGAGATAACCAGTATTTCTTAACCGTTATTATTATTAGTCTGTGAAGACCCTACAAAATCAAAGCACATATGACGTCATGAATGAATGAACTACCTGACTGTCGTAGGTAACAAATCAGTTTTATCATAGCACTAGTCTAATTTCTGTCAGGTTGTATTGTAACTGCACATATGTTCGACTTACCAGAAGAAAGTACTGTACCCTTCAGACTTCATTTTAGACTGGCACTAAATAATGGCATAAAGTACCTTGTCTTCATTGGTGTCAGGTTGATCAAGTTTCTAATCGACGATGTTAAGACAATAATTGATTCAGAGGCGGTACCCACCGAGGGAATGAGTGATATTTGACGATCTGTTTGCGATCATTACAAAAATGTGGCCAGTCACACTTTTTATTCTAACCAAATAAAGATGCATTTGAAGAAACAGAGAAGTGACTATATATGAGATTATATACACTAAGCAAGTAGACACTTATCGCCTCTTCACAAAACAACCACGTTAAGCTTAGAGTATCAGGAGCGAAACTAAAACCTGGTCAGAATTTGGATGTTAGAGCTCAGTTGAGCGTCGGGTCAGTAACCCAGAGAACATTGTTTCCAATTCGGCGGCGACTGAAGTTTTAGTTCCAAGCATTACCGTATTGAATAGAGACAAGTATGACAACTGTTATGATTTGGAAGACTGCTATGTATTATGGTCACTAACGATGCACGGATATCGAGTGTCAGCCACCAACATTCAACAAATTCCTAGTTGATTCCCAACCCGACTAATTAATGGAGAAGACACCATAAACGTGTATTTGGGGTTGAAAGACCGAAGACCCAAAATCAAAGGAAAATACAGCTAATATATAGATAGTTGGCTGTTCAAAATAATACTACCGATTGGCTGGTCCACCGTCTGTTTCTAACTACCGACGTGATCATATAGAATACATTTTGAGTGCTTCCCCTCCGGACCAGGTTTTTCTCTCTATCCCCATAGCACCTCGCTTTTCGAAAGAATGTTATGTGGGTTCAGACCGGGCTGCACTGTATTTTTCTTGCATCTGTCTGACCGACGCAGAGGGAGTTTCATTTTGTTTACTGGGGATCAGTAGTCTTTTCGATATTCTTTTGGTGGGCAGGTATATGAGCATGAAAATTAGCTATCATGCCAAGAGGTATACCTACCGTTCGAAAATAAGATCTGCAGCGATATCTGAAGGATGACTTTTGTACAGGTGGTTGTGTGTTGGCGGCAAAAACCGTCCATATGACCGGCAGTATTGCAGTCTCGGTATTGATGTTCTTTAGGTTGACAAAATTTAATGAATGTCAGGCACCACAATGTGAACGAGGCGATGGAGATGCCTTCTTCGAGGGTTGGTTGGTATCGCATGAGTTACAGGGCCGATTAACTGGTGAGATAAGGTCACGGGGTGTGTGACCAGAGGGTGATGCAGAGGAATGAGATGTCTGGCGAACTGTATGCACTTCAGGACCACCCTGGCGTCCAGATTGGGCCAAACTCATATCATGCTGCCAGTTGACACTCTGCAGATATGTCATTCAGTGTCTGAACTGCGGCGTCGAAAGCACGAACAAGTGGGTTTTGCGGTGAAATCATGTTGCAGTACTGGTCGAGCTCAGGTACAGTAGGTCGAAGTAGGAGACGTACCTTCCAGGAATCATCCTAGTCACCAAAATCCACTGTGAAGTAGTCTTCGTAACGCCTGAACCAAGCACCGACAGTCTCATTGGCATCAGGATAGTAAAGAAATTCAGCGATCCTATTGGCGACGCCATCAACTTAAAAGGCTTTTAAAACTGGGGTAGTAGGTGATGATTTCGATCGGTTCCTCTCCAGACTACCACCAACCTAATCTTAGTTAAACATCGCACATCAAGACCAGAATAAGCTCAGAGTGGGCAGCACATCTATTAGCCACCTCTGCTGATGAAGGTTCGGGACCTCGTCAACCGACTTTCCTTCCTTAGGTAGTGTAGTCAACGTCTAACCACAACATTGCTCACACACTGATTCTACCATACCTGAGAAATGCGAAGATGTACATGAGGAAAGAAACCCGTATCCTCTTCATACATTTTATTTCCAATCGTCATATCTCACAGTCGCAGAGTACGAAAGAACGGACTGTTGTGCAGTTTCTTCATCCTTTGATAGGTTGTTAGATATCTTGTCAGTAAAAGAGATGGCCTAAGTTAGTAAATGCCAAACGGGCTTCTTGCATCCGAACAGTAATAAATGAATTGCGTCAAAAAATCCACCTTCATGAATGTTTTAAACTACTACTTATTATTATTACCGCAGAAAATATCCAAAGACTACTTAATAACTGTAATCACTAACGTTCACTTATCTCAATAACTCAGTGTCCTCTGGGTAATGTCTACAGAAAAGATGAAAAGTAACAGTCTGAGACATCCGTCGAGGCACATCCCCAGACAAACTTGTCTCTGGCATTGGTCATCAGCTAGGAAATTAAGCTGAACCCCAAAACCTCATGAACCTTACACATAAAACTGCACTCGCTGTTGGCCGAAACAAACCGATGAGCGTCAAAAAGTTGTGAAGAACTTTCGAGAACCCAGTCTTAGAAGGCTGCTTCTCACAAACTAAGTAAGATTATGAAGGAAAAATCGCAGAAGTTGGTGTCGTCAACCTTTATCATTTACGCGACAAAGGAAATAAAGAACAAACCTTCAACAACACTCCGCAAGACCAGTGGCACTCTCTCATAATGAGGCTATACCTCACTAGTGATCCTAATGACCCATTTCAACAAATACTTCAGCAGTCAAATTCATGGAAACCGATGGAGTGAACACAGTGCAGGAAACATTTAACGTGACAATTTCATTGCGGAAGATTTTCGGATGCATACATGTCTCGGAATGATGTACCAATGTTAGCGCTACAATCGGTCTACCGTGGGCTGGAAAAAGATAAACCAACCCACAAGGGAGTGTGTGGGACTCACTAGGGGTTTTACGTTGATATCTTATAGGATTTTTTTTCTTCAAATAAAAAAAAAATCTAGATTCGGTAGTTTTTTTTGAATCCTCATCTGACTACGCATTTTATTACAATAAAGTAAAACTTGAAATATTATGAGATTTTCGTATCCAATGGACTTACCAGAGCGTCTAGTTCCTTCACTGATCCTGACTATGCAGACTTAAAGTTTACGACGGCTATTCTAGATGTGAGCAACTTTTTGAACGCCATTTCACTCATTCCACTGGAAAAGTACTGTCTACAAAGCACCTAATCATTTACAGGGGATAGAAAATTGAACTAGAAGCAATAAGTAGTCGTGTTGCGAAGCATTCTCCTAATTACACACAAAATAACATGTGTTTCCTAAGCGAGAAGTAACTCAGGCGGTCTACCAATAACGGTTGGGATATGGATTTGAGAAAGTCCATCATTTTACGCTTTAGTGTCTGCATATTCCCATAAACATTAATCCACCCACTTACAGTTCATAACAGGGAGACCCTTGAGATGAAATTCATATGATTTTAGTCTGATCAAACTTTAAAGTACCTTCTCTTCAGGAATTAGGTTTTTGATGACAACTGCTTAATTCAATGTGTACAAAGCAGTCAATATCTTTTTACGGCAGAACCCAGTCAACATATTTGCCAAGTAATTTACTATTGCTATTTATATTGCCATCATTCGAACACATACTTGGGTGATTCGACGTCAAATATGAAGCGTAAATCAAAATGACCTGGGGGAGAACATAAGGCTGAATTTCAATTGGCGCAATGTTGCATACTACTCGGAATTTACCAGCAGCTTAAAAAGAAATGCGGAATGAGGGTTTTGAAGGATAACGAAAGTCGTTTCAGATTTAGGGAGAAGTATTCTCTACAATGACATAAATTCCACTATCCACTTGCAGAATAGCTTTGTACTCTTTATAAGACGACAACTTTGGCAATGTCATTCATGTTTTTGTGGCACTTCATATCCCAAGCTGTGAAATTAAAGACGCTCAGATATGAAATTAAGTGAGCCCATTTTATGTATGGTATATGACCACGATCGGAGGAAATGACATGCAGTGTTTATAGATATTGTTCTGGTATATATATATATATATATATATATATATATATATATATATATATATATAT